CCTCGTCAGCGTCGTGGCTCTCTCGTCCGCCCAAGACCGAGATCGCAAGTCCGGCAACCCCAAGCTCAAGAGCTCCGCGTCCTTTGGCAACTCGGGCGGCAACATCAAGCTGTGCTCGGACGACTGTTCCACCGGTAGCTACGCCAAACTCAACCTCGCACGTCTATACGAAGTCGACGCCACGGGCCAGGACGCGAGCAACAAGGCCGAAAACTTCAACAAGGCCGACGGGGTCTGGTCGGCACCCGTCTCGAGCTCCCGTGATGGCGTGAACACGACCACGTACACGTACTCGACGGTCGTCGCGGTCGGCAAGCCCAAAGACGCCAAGACCGCGCAGTTCAACATGACGGCCGTCGTGTACGATACGAACGGCACGGCTTGGAACGGGAACCAGACCGTCAATGTGGCGGCGGGCGCCATCAAGTTTAGCATCTCGCTCGGCCCGTGGCCGTTCCTGGCCGACACGAACAAGCTCCGGTTCGGCGTCCGCGTCGAGACGAAGAGCAAGAACGAGACAACGCCCAAGAGCAAGGGCGAGAAGCACGAGGGAAAGCGCGACCCAAAGAACGGCAAGATCGATCGCATGGACCTGGGCGACACCATGTACCTGGACTCTCCCGCGCAGGCCGTCGTCGACGGCGCGAACGTTGAGATCTGGTCCAACGTGGACGCGTCGCCGGACGGCGCGATCGTCCAGTGGGAGTTCCCGCACTACACCAACACGCTGTACTACGACCCCGTCCTGGGGTCCACAGATCCGACGGTGACCGATACGGGGGCCACCACCCCAGTGCCTACGACGTCGAAACCCAACGATGTTGCATCAACGTCGTATGCAGCCGTGTGGGCAATGACAGTCTGTGCCGCCATAGTTGCCACGGCGGGCTTGTAAAGCTCTTATATAATCCGAACTGCACTCGATTTATGTGGAATGGCTGTCACTTTGACTGCGTCCACGCCGGCATTTGCAGCAAATTCACACGAAAAGGACTTCGACAGACATGATAACTTCATGCCACTAGGCATTTATCGTCATGCCGAAGGTACATGACATCCCCCACTCGAATTGAATCGGCTGGTGCGATTGCAACTCGGATAACCCAGGTCAACTCGGTCCCTTTCAAATATGCACATGACTGACACATGCTGAGTTCGCCCCCCTGCATCGCGTCATGCTTGGCGGCGGATGTTTTGTACCCGAATGGAATTGCAGTTGCACAAGGACAATATGGTCCGGATAATAAGCGGACGAGTGACCTTTGGCGAAAGCATCCACCCGCTCGATCGATCGAAGGAGAATGAGCGACGCAGATTCGAAGACGACGCCGCGGAGTTCGCGCGGGTCCGTCAAAGGGGCCAAAGAGGATAAGGATGACATGGAGCTTGATATGCAAGACATGAACTCTGACGACAAAGGGGCGCCACCCAAGCGAATGAGTGGATGGGGTGATATCACGCATCCAGAAACCACGAAATCCACCGTGTCGGCCGCGGACGGCGGTGGAGAAGGTACAGAAACCAAGCGAGGGCGGCGGCGAAAGGAAGAGAAAGCGGAGGCAGCGTACGTGCCTTCCATCTGCTGGTTCAAATGCTCACAGTTCACGGAGTAGCAAGCCGAAAAACAAACACTTCGATGACGATGGAGAAGCAACTGGTACATACTCGTGACATTCCCCCCGTTATCTCATTGTTCAATTTGATAGAGCTGATGGAAATACCGGATCTGGAGGAAGAGGAGCGAGAGCCTGACATCACAACTCAAAGTACAGCGGACGTTGACACTTTACCGATATTTGCTCACCCTGCCCTATGTTGCAGTCGCCGACGCCCCCCGCAACACGACCCGCGTCGTGCAATCCCTCAAGGAGCTCGAGCGCGACGTCAAGTACTCTCTGCCGACCGTAAGTGCGTTCATCGCAGCCACGTGCGCTTATCATGGAGCAGACCGCCGGCGTGGACCTCACCATTCTCACGAGCTTTCTCTGTCCTCAAAAAGCAGTGCGTCCTTCGTATTCGTTAGACTTGAAAAATATTTCGACGGTTCACATCCTCCCCGGGGTAGGTTCAAGAAGACGACGACGCATGGGACTTTGACTCGCTTCTTCGTGATGTGTTTCAAGATGTGCAGAAGGAGCAAGAAGAGAAAGATAACCAAGAGGAAGCGGACGTGAATACCCCGTTCGCGTCGTCTGGCAAAGCTTCCGTCGCACCATAAACATCACAGCAGTAGACGATGGTGATCGCATTACTTTTTGTCCTTCACCACGACAAACTTGTGCTCGATCGAGTAAATCCCAACAGCCTGCTCGCCATCTTCGTCGTATTCCGACCAGTCTTCCGCCAAGTTGACGTCGCGGAACACAGCTGTACCACCGGCGGACGTGAGAGTGTACCCGCCTTCGGGGTACCATGCAACCGGCTCGAGGCCGCGGCAGTCAAAACCCACGACAGGAACGAATTCGCCCGAGTCGGCTCCCGTGATGGGGCGCGTGAGCTTCTTCACGTCGCGGATGATCGTCAACTGGCTTTCCTTCTTCGCTCCTGGCCATTTCATGAGGAAATGCGCTTCACCGCGGCCCCCAGGCACGTCCACGAGCTCGTCGTCGCAGACCCACACGCCTTCACGCTTTTCTTCACTCGTGGGTTCTTTGATGTCCAAGCACCAACGGTGGTTCACGGGAAACTCCCACAGATCAATCGCGTCCAAGTCCGCCTTCACATATAGCACGAACAGCACCATCGCATGCACTTCCTTCTTCGCAGTACAGGCAAAACGACATGGCTCGTAGGAGATACGTTTCATTGGCTGTAATTCGATTGTTTTTGGCCAATCGTACTTGTCTTTTGAAGCTTCGGTAACGATTCGGATGGACGGCCTCGACGTCGGCATCACGTGGAAGGAGGGACTCGAGCAGCTCATGCACAGGCAGGCGGTATGTTGGTCTCGCACTCTCTCCTAAGCGGACGGAGTTGCGCAGCGCATCCAGAGGATGCCAGTTGGTGGACGAGGTTCCACCTACAACGGCATGCAGAGGACGAGGGCTGCAGTCTTTTAACTCGAAGGAATCGCATGCAAGTAGTCTAGTCTCGGATTATTCCCAATGGTCAGAGCCATGCATTTACTCAATGGCCTTCAAGCCGTCCTTGAGGATCGACACGCAATCGTCCATTTGGTCCTTCGTGATGCAGAGCGGTGGAGCCAAGCGGATGATGTTGCCGTGCGTGGGCTTGGCCAGGAGACCCTTGTCGCGAAGGAGCATGCACAGGTCCCACGCGTCCGGCTTCCCGGGACGTTCGTTGATGATCACAGCATTCAATAGCCCTCGTCCACGCACACCAAGGCACACGGGCGAGTCCAAGCTACACATGCTCATCGTCATCAACCGCATGATCATCCCATCGTTCGTACATGTATTTGTTCATTTCGGTGCGGAACGCCTGGCCCAGCGCAAATGCGTTTTCGGCAAGATTTTCGTCCTTGAGCACCTTCAATGCTTCAATCGCGACGCGGCTGCCCAAGGGGTTTCCGCCGTACGTCGAGCCGTGCTGGCCGGGCTTAATGTTGAGCATGATCTCATCCGAGGTGAGGACGGCCGACACGGGGTACACGCCGCCCGACAGCGCTGTCCTCATCGATGAGACAAAGCGTTTGGCGAGGTCGAAGTACCTTTGCCGAGAATCAAGATGTCGGGCTTGACGCCGTCGTAGTCGACGCAAAGCATCTTTCCCGTGCGCGCTAGTCCCGTTTGCACTTCGTCTGCGATGAACAGCACGTTGTGCTTTTTGCAAAGCGCCGCAACTTCGCGCAAGTACCCGTCCTTGGGCACGACGACACCAGCTTCACCCTGCACAAGGACGTCGTCATACAATCGAACAACCGCCAATGTACCTGAATCGGCTCGACCATGAACGCGGCAATGTTCTTGTCACTTTCGAACTTTTGGCGAAGGGCGTCGATATCGTCGTACGGCACCTTGTCGAAACCAGGCATGAACGGACCGAACTTGCCAAATGCGTTTTCGTCGTCCGATGCAGAGATCGCGCTCATGGTGCGGCCCCAAAAGTTGCCATGGCAAAACAGAATGCGCGCCTATTGCCCACGTTTACGAGGACGTGTCGAGAAGTGCAGAGACACACCTTGTTCTCGGCAATGCCTTTGTTTTCGTAAGCCCATCGACGCGCCAGCTTGATAGCTGTCTCGCCGCCTTCCACACCAGTGTTCATGGGCAACACCTGCACACCACCGCATAAGGAAACGCGTGAAAGCCAGGGTGACATACGCGGTCGTAGCCGAAGAACTTTGTGATGAATTCTTCGTATTCACCCAACACGTCGTTATAAAACGCGCGCGACGTCAGGGACAGCTTGGAAGCTTGTTCGACAAGCGCATTGATGATGCGGGGGTGCGAATGTCCCTACGGATTTTCCATCTTGGTCGTTGGCGATTGCATCAGGGTAAAGTCAATGGTCTGTACCTGGTTCACAGCAGAGTACGCGCTAAGGAAGTCGTAGTACTGCTTTCCTTCAACATCCCACACGTGCACACCTACACCAACCCCACGCTCGCATGAACTGAAGCGCCGTACGATAGACAAGAACAATTGTGAAATACATACCCTTGGCGCGGCTGAGGACCACTGGAAGCGGGTGGTAGTTGTGCGCCCCGTACTTGTCTTCCCTTGCCATGTACTCTTCCGGCGTCTTAAGCGTGCTCATGGCACGTTGGTTGGTAGCGCTGCTAACAGCGCGGGTGACGGCGCGGCGGGTGGCGATCATAGTCTTGGCTTCAAGTATCGGATCGCAGAATGCGACCACACAAACCCAACCAACGAACGGGCGTGAAACGTTGGTGTCGACCACACATACAAATCTCAAGATAAAAGCTGTTTCGATAACATTAGGGTTCGGACGTCGGATTGAACTTGCCTCGTTTATACGGATTGTCCAAATTATCCGGACATAACCGGATTACCAATGTTGTTGCCAATGTTCCCACGTCTGCGTTTCCTCGGTGGATGAGCTCTCTCCATGTGCACTATTGTAGGACACCGTGGGAATGCAGCAGAGCATTTGGATGGACGGAAGGTAGACGCCCCTCGACACAGCGTCGCTGCAAGCAAGTGCGACAATCCGATTTGGGTGCGACCCTAGCCTACTAAATTAACGTGGGGATGCGGAGCAATGCCCACGCGCTTCGCGTCGGGGATGAATCCCCTGGGCGACGCATTGCCTAGTGAAATGCGGTACAACGGATGTGCACGCACGACCCCGCCATCCACCCAACCGGACGGCATCGTTTGTGCACCAAGTGAGCGAGATTTGGGCAATGCGAGGATGGATCCATGATGTCTGCATGATTGACGAATTCATCACTTGGATGCGGCTGCCACGTCGCAGATAAAAATCGAGGTAATTTTAGCCAATGAAACCAGCTTTCCCAACCATCTTCCTGGTGTTTCTCATGGACAGAGCGTTGTCATAGTATTACTAGAATTGGTGGCATGTACTTTGCCCCCTAGTTAGCCTAAATGTAACTATCTAGTAGCTACTAGGAGGAAACCTTTTTGAGACAGGAATTCGTTTTCAAAATTGGTCACATTTTATGCTAAAAATAAAAAAGAGACAAACATATTTAAGGACTTACAGGCAACGCCAAAATGGTTCGCCTATCGTCGAATTTCGTGAAGATGTCACAACAATTTGACCACTAACAGTAAAAATGGAAAAACCATATCAAGGCGCGTGATTGGCCAGTGATAGTTACTTCCCGCGTGCGGTAGGACAATTAACAGTGGTCGATCGTATAGACCAACCGTCCGGATAATTCATCAAATTCCAGGGGTGACTACAGAGTTCCCTCAATTTTTGCTCCCTACTGAAAATGAATATCTTCTTTAGAATTATTTGATATCAAGTTTCCTGGGATGGTTTGAACATGGTTTGAATTTGATGCTTGGTGATTCAAAATTCAAAATGTGAGGCAGCATTGGCTCCACGTAGTGCAAGACTCTTTAGAAAATGCAGCACAACAAGACAGCGGGAAGCAAGCGATTGACCATTCATCAGAAGAACTTA